GGTGGTCGGCCTGCACATCTCTCCCAGGGCCAAGCTGCTCCACTCTATTTTCCCCAATCTTTAAAAATGCAGCCTGAAGTGTGTTGTAATCTCTGGACGAAGGCCTAGGAGTTGGTGACCTCCTCAGTTCTAACCCAGATTTGATGTGGGATCAGCAGTGAGTCATTAGCCCTTTTTTCACATCTCAGTTTTCTCTAGGAAAAATGATCTGTCATTCTTTCATATCTTTATATGAAAGATGCCGTGACGAGGTTACATCAGCATCTTTTCACCAGAGACACGTCCTAATTCAAAAGTGCAGTTCCTGGAGGAGCCCCCAGGGGTCGCTGTGGAGACAAAGAGGGCTCCAGGTCCCTCTGCCAGGTCAAGCGGTTCCCACCTGCTCCTCCAGCTTTGCAAAGCCCAGCCCCTATGGGATGGAGACTCCTCAGGAGAGGCTTGAAGCTGGCTGGCCTCACTTGGCAACAAAGACTGCCCAACTGCTTCGGTTATAAACAGTATATTTCTTCGAGGGTTTTTCCTAGTCTATGAAAAGAAAAAGAAAGAAAAGAGGAAATCCTGAAAGAGAATGTGGCCTAAGTGAAATGTAACCACAATTAGGCACTAGAGTTAGTACAAGCAATGATGCAATAAAAATGCAGGAATAAAGTTTGGTCTGTTGTGTATTAATAACTCAGTCATTGTAGAAGTCAAGAGGTTCAAGTCTGTCTGCCTTCCTTTGATCTCTCTCTCTCCTTCTCTCTCTCTCTTTCTGTTTCTCTTTTTCTCACACAGAGAATCTTAAAAAGTAAAATCCCTGAACAGAAAGCAAAAATATCACTATGTTCTAGCAGTTGCTAATATTTTCCTTCATTGGGCAATTGGTCAAGAGTCCAGCAGTTCGTATACAGAAAGACATATCCATGACCAGAATCCTCAGTTGCATTCCCCCCAGCCATAGTGCTATTGGTATTCACTCTACATTCCAGGATTTCACTTGGAAAACTACAGGGGAAATAGAAAAGGAGATTGTTTGGTACTAAATGTTTAACATGCTCGTGAAACAATTACAAAGGAAACCTATTGTGATGTTTCAGGCTGTATATCTTAGTTTATCTAATTCAACATGATAGAATAAACCAACATGATTATTTACTGTCTTCGGTTGCCTACCTTGAAGATTCTACTCTCCATCAACATGAATTGCTTATTTTCCTTGCAAGGAACACCCGAGGTAATTCCTCATTTCTTTTTTCTCTGCTCTGACTAACATCACGTTGGTGCTGACTGAAGTTACTGCTGGGTGGGGCAACACCATTACTTAGGTTAAATGAATGGGAAATTTTGATGTCTCTAAGTTAGGAGCTTCAAGATCTTCATAATAAAGTATATGCCATAAAAAATGGTCCAATTCATATTCCCATTTAATTAAGATAACTTTTTGTTTCTCTTTCTAGTCAATGCTTTCATTTTAATGTCCTTTTGATCATAAAGATATTTTATTTTTAGGTTACTACTTTTAAAAAGGTACTACTAGCAGAATTCAAGTAACCCCAAACAAATACCTGGATTACCAGGGCTGCTTAACATGGGCATTATTGACTCTCGGGCTGGATAATTCTTTGATGTGTTAGGGGAATGGGGGAAACCTGTCCTGTGCATTCTAGGATGGTCAGCAACATCCTTGGCCTCCACCCACTAAATGCCAGGAGCAGCCCTTTACTCCCAGTCTTGACAATGAAAAATGTCTCTGGACATGGTCAAATGTTCCCTGAGGGTGGGGGAGGGGGGCAAAATCACCACATTAAAACCACACCGTGTGCCTGAATTGTTACAATGAAAAAGGAAAAGGAAAGAAAGAAAATGAAACGTTTGTCTCTTCCTTTTTTTGATTGTCCAAGCCTCTACAGATTTGAATCATCAATCATTTGGATCCTTACTCTAGTTAATGGAGTCACCTTTAGAAAATTTCTAAAGCCTTGTGCACAGTCTTTTGAATAGATGTGCCTTGAACTTCAAATGGATTGTCAAAGGACTAGACGTCCACTAACTCCCACTGGGTAAACGATCGGTAAACCTTAGCATAACTACACATTGAGCCTTAAACTAACAGCCTATGAAAAGATCAATATGAATAAATTCAAAACTAATCAGACTCCTTCTTTAAATGTTGACACAGTATTATTTATATCCCATAAATACCTTCTTGACTAAAATTCATCCTAGGAGATTGGCACCTGGCCAGTTCTATTCATATTTACTGTATTTATATAGTATCCTGGGCCAAGGATAATATTTAAGACAAAATATGCCTGAGGGCATATACAATATCTTTTATATTTTTACTTTTAAGTCTCAACATTGCTAAAAATATTTAGTCTGAACTATATAAAATGTCCCACAAAGGGCTATCAGCAATCTGTAATGATATACAGCTCATTGAGTATAATTAGAGCATATTTGTAATATTTGAGCTGAAGTCACTCCCTGAACGCTAATAAGTTGGTGGTAAAAAATGAACCAGTGATCTTTCCCATGCCTTCATCTCTGGGGCTTATGACCCTCGCCGATTCACTGCAAGAAATGACAGGCACACTCCCTCCTCACAGCCACTTCAGTGCCGGCCCAGTTAAAAATTAGGCGGAAAAATCTTAAAGAGGCAAAGTTGGTATAGAAGCCAATGCTGTACTTTCAGTTTGCTCTTTAAAAATACGGTGGAGTGATTTCTTCTTTTCTCCCTTTCTTTTGGAAGGGTTCACTATATTCCAGTATACCTAGAAAGTGCTGGAAAATCAGTTAACCTACTTTCTATAAAATTATGCACAGTCCTCGCACAGTAGTATCAAACCTGCTATTAATATGGCTTTCTGCTCCTAAACTTTCATACAGAGAATACAGGCTTTAAGGAGGCTTTTAAGGAGTATATTTTTCATACTGAACTTATCAGACGTTTAATTTATTTGGTGGCTGGGGGTAGGATGGAGAAGAGAATCTACACACTGATCTTTGATGCCATCCTTTGAAATCCTAATAACCTGAGAACTTTTCTAATTTGGTGATACCATGATTCTGGGTTGGGTCATGTCAGCTCTTTGGATTGAAGTGTGTTTGAAAGAACAAAGAACGAACATCCTCTCTCCACTTGCTCTTGCTCTTTCCACACACCTATCTAATGATGCGATCAGACCTCCTCTGTTATAAAAGTGCTGGCTGTTCATTAGAGCTTTTGCAGGTAAACATTGAAGCGATGACTGGGTCAGGTTCTGTACTTGCCTGTCTGCCCAAACACCAGTAGAACTGATGCACGTGGAAGAGAAAGCAAACTGACTCAACCCTCTGTTCGGTCTCAATGGTTTTGGACTAATTACAATGAACTTTCTTGCCTAATATCTCCTTGGCTCCGCCCCAGGTAGAAAGCTTTACTTCCCGAGGGGAATAAGCAGGGTGGAGCGGATTTATCACCACTGTTGTGGATGGTGCCATAATTACAACAATAAAATCATCCTGCTTGCCAGGATCTCCTGCATCTGCTCTGCTCTTGAACAAGCACAGGAGAAGCTGCAGCAGAGGAAAGGTTGCCAGGAAGACAGGGGTTAGATCCATCCGCTGACATTCTGAGACCATCAAGTACAAGACATGGCAAGTCACACAGCTAGGACTTGTCAAACTAAAAATAAATATTAAAAAAGAAAAGCACCACCCTGCAATTAGAACCTCTAGGATGAAATTACCAAGATGGCCATATTATCTATTTAGGCAAGACACAGAGACTTTGTGAAGGCAGCCAGTGAGTATATAGGACATGGAAAGGGGAGGAGAGAAATGGACGGCCAATGAAAAGTTTACGACTTGGGATTTGGAATACGCAAATGTCGAAGCGGATTTTTTTTTTTTCTTTTTCTTCTTCTTCCTGGTATTTAACCCTCTCAGGTATCACTGGATGCTTCTTCTTTTCTTTTTTTAAGAACTTGGGAAAAATTCTAATCTAACTGTCCTCTTCCCTTCCTCCCAAGGAACTCCACAATAAATCATTTCACTCCCATTGCTACTGTATGCCAGCTGGTTTTGAGGACACTGCCCTCAGAGAAGTCAGTAAAAAAAAAAAAAAAAAAAAAAAAAAAAATCGGCTGTCTTCTACTCTGAGATTCAGGAATGCATCGAAGTAACTGCAGGAAGCCTATGAAAGGGCAGGGAGCAAGGGGCTCAAGGGTGAGAAAGATAAACGACAAACGCGTCAGAAAAGTGATCTGCTATCTTAAGAAGGCAGATTTGGGCGAATTATAAAATTAACATGATGAAACACCTTTTAAATATAGTCAGAAAAGAAGTTTTTCTTTCCACCCCTCCAGGTGAAATCAAAAGGGGACTTGGTTACAGGACCTCGCCTTCGGGGAATGTAAACACCTAGCTATGGCAATCGGTTCAAGAGTTGAGGTTTTGGGGTAGGTTTCCCGAGGAGTCTCCAAATCAGGTTTTGTCTTGGCGATGCTGACATTTTTCGGGGAGTTACAGACAATAGAGGAGGCTTGGGGAACCAGCTGATAGGTCGGCAGGAAAGGGGCGCCTTCCGGAGAGGCTAGTTTTGAGCCACTTTTTTTAACCCTTCGTGCACCGGTTCGCCGGGCTCCACGCCAATCGGAGCAAAGAAAACAAACCTACCAGGATTTCCCAGTTTAACTCTGCCCCAGGGAGCGCCTCCAGTTTGACAGAGGAGGCTGACTCCTAGCTGGTGGCCTGGTAAAGAATTTCGGGGAAGAGTCAAAGAGAATAACGCCTTAGAAAGGACTGAGGCGTTGGGGGCAGGGAGAAATGGAGAAAATAAAGTAGAAAGTCAAGATTTTAAAGCCTACCTTTCTCAAGCAGAGAACTGGAAAGGGGGTGGGTGGGACGAAGGACAGCAGAAGGGGAAAAGAGCGAGCGGGGACCCAGAGAGGGAAGGGCGATCCCTAAAGTTGTTGCGCTTTTGAGAGCTCCGCGCAGCGCTTAAACCTCTGGGAGTGGAAGCGAAAAACAGTACTTACTTTCCGAGGGGAAGAAGGGCGGCATGTCTATTTTGTAAACCTCCTTGGCGTAGTACTCCTCGTCGCTCCTCTCGCGCTCGCAGGCGGCCGCCCTCCGGCTCGCCTTCTCCTGGAGCAAGTCCCTGGTGCTGTTGTAGATGGAAATCACCTCCGGGGGGACTTCCTCCGGTTCGGGATAGTCTTCTGGGGGGCTGGTGAGCTTCAGCTTGCTCAGGATCTGCCCGCGGATGGCCTCGATCCTCTTGCGCATGAACTGGTCCATATCGAGCGTGCTGCAGGTAGACAGGCTGAGCGCCACCGCGACCAAATGCAGGAGCAGAAAAGCGCTCAGCACACAGTAGTGCATTTTTTTTTAAAGGTGGAAAAAGTTAAAAAAAAACAAAAAAAATTTAAAAAGTAGGAAAAAAAGAAACCAATAACTCTCAAAGTTCAGATCAGGTAGGTTTTTTTTTTTTTTAATGCGAAACTTTTGCAAACAGTCGAGAGTCAATGTCCAATAGAAAAGCTATCTTGCTTGAATTCCTTTAAAAAGAAAATACAAGTCGTTCCAAAAGGGGAAATATTAATACACGATGGCCAGGGGGAACCCTAACTTTGGGGAGTAAGAAAAAGTTTTCTTGGAGCGACGAGATGGGGGGGAAAAAAGAGACGAGTGGCTATTAGGCAGAAATAAATTTAAGAGGAAGAAACGGAGTTCAGTGTGTCAGTTTCGGGTGCGGAGTGGCGGATCTGAACTCGGCTCCTCCAGCCAAAAGGGAAGAGATGAAAAGGTCCCGGGGCTGGCAGCTGGCGAACTGACGGGAGGGGCGCCGGGAGCGCTGGAAGGGGGGCCGCCGAGGCTGGCCCAGGCTGTAATTTATATATTTAAAGAAGGAGCGGTTCAGCCCTGCCTTCCACTGCGGCGCTGAGCGCAGCAGCAGCAGCAGCAGCTCCGGAGCGGAGGAGCGCACACGTGTGTGAGTGTGTGTGTGAGTGTGTGTGCGCGCGCGCTGGCGTGCGCGCGCGCTGCGGGCGAGCCCGGCGCGCCGCCGGGAGGCGGGTGCGCTTCGCACGGCGCTGGGGACTCGGTCGGGTCGTGCAGCGGCCGCAAGGGCTGCCGAGGCGGCGAGGATCCTGCTCCCGGAGCGGCGCGCCGGGGCCTACCCCCGGGCGGGCGCACGCCGAGCCTCTCGGTTACTCCACGTTGCCGCCGCCGCCGCTCGCAAACGCGTCCAGCCTCCAGCTCCCTCCTGCTGCTGCTCCTCCTTCTTCTCGCGCTCCAAACGCCAACCCGGCAACAGACGAGCCGCTGCCGCCGCCGTGGCTCTCACCCCCTGCGGACCGCAACGGCAGCCCCGGAGACCGCGGACCGGGGGGTTTTATTCCTAAGGGGATGCGAAGGGGTTCCCTTGGAGTCCCACCCTCTCCTGTCTCTCCCACTTGGACTTTCTCGCTTCGGGTAGGTAGGCAGGCACTTGGCACCCTGAAATAGACCCTCTTCTGCTTTCTCCTGTCTGCAGCCAGACAGCCCGTTTGTTCCCAAATGGCTCCCTAGACCGTTACACTGTGTTCTCCATCCCTTTCCCCATGCCCCTCCACTTGCGCTCTCGCTCTTCGCTCTCTCTGCCTTTCTCTGGGTCTCTCTGTATCTGTCTGCCTGCTCCTCCCTCCCGCCCTCCCTCCCTCCCTCTCTCTATCTTCTCTCTCGTCGGAAGCTTCTGAAGCTCCCCTCGGAGCAACCTTCTGCTGCCAGCAGATAACATCACGATCTTGCCTGGGAGGAGAGATTTATAAGTTCCCTCTGAACCACGTGTTTGCCTTCAACAAAGTGACGTGCTAGGATTACAGTCAGAAGTCCTCTCGTTTACTTAGACCACGGGCTCTCCCCGAACCGTTGAGGGGGTGTGGAAATGAGGACGGCTGTGGGCGAGGGCGGGAGGAGGTGGAGTGTGCGCCCTGACAACAGTGATTTACGGTATTTACTTTATATAGTCATTTTGGACAGGTCTGTTGAAGGACAAGCTATCAAGCCTCCCGTTTTCACTTGGTGTGGCTCACCCACAGCCTCCCAAATTGAATCACTTGCTGTAGAATGGAAGTCTTCCCCCCTGTACTGTACACACACAGAGACCCACACGTGAAAGGGCATCAAACGGTTCACTCAGGGCCAGGCCAGCCCTGAGACATGGCTTCCAATTTAAAATTTACCTCCTGTGTTTTTAGTGGAATCCTTTTCTGAGATGCCAGAACACTGTGCTAGTACCTCTATTCTAAGTTTATTTCATTATGGTTTGTTGTTTACAGTGTAGTCCTCCATTTGAGTGTGGACTGCTGAAAAAAGAGCTCCATCTTTTTTTTAACCTGGAGAATGAAGTACATTTATTTGTTTCACTGTTTGAGTGAATGACTGGATATCTTCCTCATTTGCTGCCTAAGCCACTTCTTGATATGGCTTTCTCTTCACCCTATTCCCCAGCTAGACATTAGCCACCAACTTCATTCTTTCCGTAGCATCCATCCAGGAAACTGCCATTTTAAGTGTTTGGTGTCTACTGTTACACACTACACACAACTTGACATTTTCTATTTCAACCAAGTCCAAATTAGATGAATATAAAAATAATTCTTGCCACTGTTCACTTTCCCCTTTTTCTTTTATTTTACCTTGAGTTACTCAAAGTCAACATTTTCATTTCATCATGACTGTGGCCAGACCGACTAGACAGATGATTTAAACTGGAAACTCTGTTGAGTGTCCCCCCAAACTCAAAGCCTCTATATTATTCCCTAGTTCAGATGTTCCTTTTATTGTAGAAAGGTCACAAGGAAGTTCCTCTAACTTTTGGAGTTTATACTTGACATGCGCATGGGGCCTATATCATTAGTAAATAGAGTGCTGAATAAATAGCTATACAATAGCTAACACATATTACACTTAGTAATGTGAGATACATATATAGATGTATATAGATGGTCATTTAATCTTCACAACCTGTACCTATACAATAGGTATTATCATCTCTACTTTGCAGATGAGGAACCGAGGTACAGAGGTTAAGCACCTTGCTCAGGACCACATTAAGTGGTGGGGCTGGATTTGTAGTCAGGATCCTTGTCTGTGTTCTTACCCCCTAGGTACTCCTAAGAAACACTGGTATCCAGAATATGTCTTTCAAACGGATGCTGTGGTGAAGTAAGTTTGGGAGATACTGGGTACTGTATTTGCCTTCTTGTAGATTCACAGTTCCCACCATCATGTTCAAGGCTCTGAGAATCTTGCAGAAAAGAAAACTGTTCAGCTCTTTTTAACACAGCATATTCTGAACTCCCTTGAACATGGAATTTTTTCCGTATTAATACACATCAGAAAATTCTGGAATAAAAGAATTGTTCCAACTCACTTCTGAATAATTCTGAAAATTATGTATACATCAGCATTAGCAGACTCCTTTCTTTGAGGCCAGTTTCACATGGAAGCAACTGGAAGGGAGTTAGATAACCAGCTACCATTCCAACAGCCAAAGCAAAATATAGTCAAGAGCAGCTACTGTGGGGCCAGCCGTTTCATCAGGCTGTCAGCCCTGTGAGTTCAGGTTGAGAACTGCAGGAATCTAGCTATGCACAAAGGGGAAAACGAGAATATCCTCACACCTGGGGTAATTAGAGAACACAGACAAGGAGTGGCGACCTAGAGCCACCCAGTGAAGATGTCGCTTGGAATATGGCTGGTTACCTCGGTCCCCATCCTCCGCTGGGGACGTCAGTTCCACCTCCCCTCAAACCAGGGAGACCACCTTCTTGGTATAGACACAAAGGCCCCTGATGGTGAGCGGATTCAAATTAGTGTGAAGAGAGCAGCAAAAGCCCACCTACATCACTTCTAGGAAAACAACTAAGCCATAAATTCTTCTGACAACCATCTCCCTTCCCAACATAAACCCACACTTTTGTCCACAATACTTGGTGGGACACTTATTGCTAACTTAACAACTCCTTAAGCTACTTTTAATTTTCCCACTGCCCAGGAAGGTAGGACAGGGCAGGGGTTGGTGAAATCTTCTGGAATGGGTGAGTATAATAGCTTGAGCACCAGAGGAGGACCCCCTTTCTACCTCTCAGGTGAGCAATCCTTTGAAGATGTAACAGCTAAGACTGTAAGAGCTGTCTCCCTGGTAACCATAAATGGATCCTTTCTTCTACTAAATAACTCTTCTGGAGTCTTTTCACTTTTATATTCAAGATGTAAACATTCACTAACATTCATTCTTATGTGCTAAGGACTTTATACAGGGTAACAGGGTATTGAACCCATACAGATCGTCATGATTACCTCAAGGAGGCAGGAGGGCACAGTGCTTAAAACGGCAGGCTCCAAGGTCAGGTTTTCTCGGGTTCAAATTTCTGTCACTTTCCAGCTTTGTGATCCTGGCCAAGTTACTCAGACATTTTGGGTTAGTTTCTTCATCTGCAAAATGGGGTTAACATATCATACCAACAATATAAGATTATTGTGCGGATTAAATTCTACAAGGCACAGAAAGCACTTCTAACGCAACCTGGCATTCAGTTTGTGCTTAGTAAATGCTACCTACCATGTTCTTATCCTCTGACTTCTTCATTTTGTCGGAGAATGTACGATAACACACGTGTGGCCTCCACTCTTTCTCAGATATAAATAGAAAGAAACAGCCAGGGAAGACGCTAATGAGAATTGCTTCATGGTTTATGTCTCCTAGCAGTTTCTAGAAGGACATGCTCATTAAGTTACTTTACATAGTATGGTATCTTGCCCCTGGTAATTGTAGGAAGAAAGGACGAGATAATACACTTTTGGTGACTACGACTCTAAATGACTATCAAAGTCCAGTTAAGCCCAAATTCAAGATGAAAGTCGCTCATTATTTAACAACCTAAAATAGAATTCTTTGTTTTCCAGATCAGAGAGGTAGAGGGTGCAGCTGTTCTGACCACTAGCCCTCCTCTGCTCATTAATAGGTCTATTCACTTAATTAATGTGGTATTCCTGCAAGAGGCGAAACAAATGTTTGATACCAAGACAACTACTCATCTCTGTCCAGGAGTCTTACCCCTACGGGTCACAGGCAAGAGTTTACGATCTAATAGGTCCTTCCTAACTCTGATGAAAGAATAACTTCATTTGTAACAATTTTGAAAGCTTTCCACTATGGTTTCAAGCATTAAAAACCAGGAGGTGGAGAAAAGAAAGATATGGAACTACTGTTATTGATTACATTTTACTCTAATAGTGACACCTGATAAATGCAAAATAACCCTTGAATGTGATAATACGTTAAAAAGCCTTTTGAGTTCTTACAGCTTTTTCCTTTGATGCTGCAATTCAAAAGCAATGTTTGGTCTATAGCAATTTTTGTCTCATGTTCTGTGTGCATTTCTATGGATAAACAAGTGTCTGCTCTCAGAATAAGGAAATGGAAAGGTTAGCGGTTTCCCCATGAAAAGTAATACAATCATCATTTCCGTTTTGTATCTTGAGGTTAATCTAAGAAAGAGGTGATACAGAGAAAGGAGGGAACAATGGGTAGGGAGGAGAAGGGCCTAAAGAGAAGTTCAGAGGTGGTACAAGATAAAGAGATAAACTCCAGAGACAGGGACTAGAAAAAGCAGAGCCTATCAGTAGGCTGTGAGGTTTGAGAGAGATAAACTCCTCACCCTTTACTGATACGCTCACTGGAACATTTATCTTACCCTTTGGAATTATGATTAGCGGATGGATTATTGCTTGTTGCTTTTGGGCCCGTCTATCTGTACATTTTCAGCTCTGTGAGAGGTCCAGCAGGAGGGAAGTCTTTCTTTGGCAGGCAGTATCTTAGTGGCCTGGGCTTTGTCATCCCCTGGGTCTACTGAAGTCAGTTGCAGCTCTGGTTTCTTGCCCCTGTGAAATTTATCCACTAAAATAGCATTTAGTGGCTGATATAAATAAACAGCATTTAGGGAGTGATATAAATAAATGAACATATGGGGACAGTTG